GACAAACTCATGTCCATTGTGAACAATGTGGAGATGGCTCGCTTGACGGGCGTTCCGATTACCTACCTTATTAATCGAGGACAGCAAGTGAAGGTTTGTGGCATTTGCAGTTTTCCTCAATCCATCTGCTTTTTGAGCTTCAACCTGTTTTCTTTCGCTCCTTGTCGTGTTGTTTTTTTCACAGCAAAGGGTATTAACTTTAGGCTTATGTCTCCCCTGCAGGTCATATCTCAATTGCTTAGAAAGACGAAGGAACAAGGTCTTTTATTGCCCACTCAGCGTCCTGAACGGCGAAATAAGTTTACCGGTGGGAAGGTCATAGAGCCACGTCGAGGCTTCTACAATGAACCCATCGCTACGCTGGACTTTTCTAGCCTATATCCGAGCATCATGATGGCACACAACCTCTGCTACACTACGCTTCTAGCTCCAGCTGATTGTAGCGCTCACGGAGGCGTCCAGAATTTGGTGGATGCCTACGGCCTCTCACCGGATGACTACATTCGGACGCCTACTGGTGCCTACTTTGTCAAGGAGTCGGTTCGAAAGGGTCTCCTTCCTCAGGTCCTTGAGCAGCTCCTTGCGGCTAGGAAAAAGTACGTTGTGATGGAAAAAAAACGTCAGGCCTGACTGACTTAGAGGTCATTTGATTTTGTACTTATATACTCTGAGCCACAAATTAATTTCCGTAGAAATTAAAAAGCTGAAACTAGTGTAGTTTGATTAGAGCGGAGAGCATTACTTTCCTCCACTCATTCCGCTGTGTCCTGTTCCTTTGTCGCAACGATATCCCCTGCAGGTCTTCCTGAATTTTAACCGAGTTCTGACACCAGGATTAGTCAGGCTAACCGCGGTCTGTTTTGCTAACGCTTGTTTTAATCCACCCTGCACACTTGCTTGCCTACACTGCACATTAAGGAAACGAGGAGACTACTGCACTACTGAAATTGTTCCTTGTTTATGAAAATAAGCATGATTTCTTAGAACTGGCTTCACTTTTATTAAAGCAATTTCGGACTAAATTTTCTGGTTCCGGAAGGGATATGTTTTAAACTCTTCTTACTTATTTTGAGGTTCTCCCTTAGCATAACGCATATTAATAAAAATTTTAGTTCTGGCATACTTATTTAGCTGAATTTAAAGCCCATCACCCCTAATAAATTTAACTAAAAGGGTAGCTCTCTGGACTAAAAGACTTTATCGGCATTAAATACACTCAGTTGATCAAAATAACGTAACCGAATATATTCCAAGCTACCAAGTCAAATTTCCTCATGAATTTTGCTTGCAGCACTCGCCATACTGCGCATGAGCTGCTACGCTGCTTGTCATGACAGCGTACAGTTTGACCGTGGCCACAAATCCGATTGGTCCATATCTGTGATAAGTCTTCCATCGCTTTCACATCACGCTAATGCAATAAATGCATGTCGTCTTTTCGTGCGGTTGGCTTGCTATTCGTGAATACAGCTCACCCTGTGATCGCTTTCCCCCCCTTTCCTCTCCCATGTCTGCTTTAGGAACAGTAGTCGGACGAGTACACAGTATTCGTGTTATTTACAATAACTAGGCACGGGTCATAATATATTTGGACTTTACTGTCAGTGATTTCGGCCTTGATGCATTTGATCATTTTTAGTAAAATAGGTAACATTCTAGTTGCCTCGGGAGACGAAAAAACAACAAAGTCCCGGAACCCTACGGAGGCCG